AAAAAAAAAAAAAAAAAAAAAAAAAAAAAAAAAAAAAAAAAAAAAAAAAAAAAAAAAAAAAAAAAAAATCTTATTCAAAGTAGTTACAAAAGAGAAGGGCAAAACAAGAATTTACTACAATTTTAGGGCAAAATGAAAAGTCAATATACAAATATCATAACATCGGAATAAATGAGAGATATTTGTATGATTCCACATCTTTTATAATTGTGTTGGGTCACTTATTGAAAATTTTTCTATGGTACATAAGCTCAAGAGTTCTAAGGTTCGTCCATGGAGGATAAGTTAGAGCCTAAGATCAGGCCGAAAGGTGTAGTCTAGTTGATGGACAACATGTAAATATTCTTATACTACTCCTTGTTAGCTGAAAGATAGTTATCGCAAAGTGCCCGAACAAGAAGAGATAGAGAATGAAAGCATATAATAATTTGTTGGTTTATAGGAATACTCTTTACTCTTAAAACAGAATGAAAGCATATAATAATTTGTTGGTTTATAGGAATACTCTTTACTCTTAAAACGAATATTTAAAGTTCTTGTATAAAAAATCAATTTAATATCTTTAATACAGAAAATAAATAAATTTAACTTTTTGGACGTAATTTTATTTTAAAATTATTAATATATAGTTGCCGTATTGGAAAGACTGTGTTGGGCTGTCGGCCCACTACACCAGATGGGCACTCCACAAGAGTATCCCTCTTTGCGAGATCGAGTGCCACGTCAGCTAATGGCCCGCCATATCTCAATAATCATGCCCCACCCCAGCCCACTCCAGACGACAAATATATATATATTCTTTTTTTGAAATTGGAAGTCTATACCCTAAAAATTATTCAAAATTTAAGAATATAAATATTAAAATAAAAAATATAACTATTTAAAATTTTAGAGATCATTATTAAACTTGTTTCATAAAAAAAAATCGTACAAAATACTTTAATGATAAATTAAATCATGACTCATCATTAATGAATTATATATAGACTATATATTTTAAAGAAATTGCGAGGACGAGTTTGTGCATGATTGTGCACTGTCTTCTAGAAAAAGCATGGTTTAAATATTAAATTAATTATTTTTAAAAGAAAAAAAAATGTAACACTTCAATTATAATCTCATATGTTTTTAATATTTATTATTATTATTATTATTATTAATAAGTGTAAAGATTAATTTATACAATATGATAATTAAAAATTTAGAGGTGAAATTAAAAACACTCCTATATACTAGGAAATTTATAATAAAAATTTATTAACGAAAAGAGTAATTTAAAAGATTAATTAAATTAAAGAACACTAAAAATACTGGGTACTAAAATATAATTTTATGAATCATATAATAAGAGAGAGTGGAAATATCTCAATGATTGAGAGAGACGGGTGTGTTATGGTTGTATAAGATAAGATTTTAATTTAGCTCCTTATCCCTTCGCGAAGTCCACGTCACCAGGCATGCTAAATTATATATAAAAAATATATTACTAATATTTTATATTTAAAATATCAGAACTTTTTAATAGTTTTATTATACTTTTAAATAATTTAAGTTAAAAAGATATTAATTTTTTTTAAAAAAATTCAAATATATCAATGGAAATATATATATATATATTAAATTTAAGAACTAATGAAACATTTGAAAATTCATATATATTAAATATAAAGATCAAACATATTTTTATAAATTATTATTATTATTATTTTTGCATGTATGAATAAATAAATAAATAAATTCATCATTTAAGAATATGAGAACTAATTTCTTACGATTAAAATTAAAATATTTATAAAAATATGGATGTTTCAATTTTTAAAAAATGTCAATAAAAACATCAGTCAACGGTTAAAATATCATATTGATGTCATATTTTCTTCATTTAATCCTCGTTAAAATTTGACTATGTTTTCTAATTATTATTTAATCAGAAAATTTAAATTTATTGATTCAAATAAAAAATTGAGGAATATAATTGTAAGAAACCACCTGGTTGGATGGATCAAATAAAAATGCTGAGGGGTATAATTGTAATAAATCTCGTACTTTCGGCTGTTTTCCTTACAAAAATGAACAAATTTTGACTGAATAAAGGAAAAAAAGAAAAGAAAAAAAAAATACTGACGTGGCGGCGTACAACGAAGGCAGCCTGCGCGGAGGAACAGAGAACTGAATAATGAAAGCGAAGAGCGGGTTCGCTTCCAATCCCATTTTGGCAACTATAAATATTCCACACGCGAAAGCTATTAGCATCATCATCACTCACGGGTCCCTAATTTACACACAGAACGGAGAAAAGGACGACGATAATGGCGATGAAGCAGGCAGCTACAGCAGCGATTCGAGCTTTTTCTTCCTCTGTAGCCTCTCAGTCATCACCTCTCGTCAGGCACCTTCATGTAAGCGAGTTTACCTTTTCTGCTGAACCGAATTGATATGTCCGATTATTGTTTTAGAAGTATCGTACTCTCCTCTTCTTCGTTCATTGCGAAGTTTGAGGTTCTTGTGTTAAATTCTAGAGGTAGAAATTTGTATATTCCGCTAATCTGTTCTTCTTATGGATTTGATCACTGAAATTTGCAATGTTCGTCTCTCGATCTTCGATCCTGTTTTTACTCCCTTGCGGATGATAGTTTGTATCGCTTTTTTTTTTTTTTTTTTTTAGTCTCCGCTTATTAATCACAAAAACAGGATGCCTAGTTTTGTGTCTGTCTGATTATGTGTTTGATTGGGCGATGGATGATGAATTTATGCATTATCGAAGCTACTTTTGTGATTTGTAAGTTTTTAAGGTCTCCGATCTTGAAGATTGATTGCTAGAACAGGAGGCTTGGTTTGTATCGTTGGTGATCATGTGTTTTTAAGCTTTTTGAGTCTCCGATCCTGCCGATAGATTTCTAGATCAGGAAGCCTGGTTCTTCTGTGTGATTATGAGCTTGATTGGGAGGAGGAGGGAGGGTTTCTAGGTAAGTGAAGTTAATCTCGTGATTTGTGAATCTTAATTAATGCCTTTCGTCTCTCCCTTGTTTTTGAGCAGGCTTCTGCAGGGAGCAAGAAGATCGTCGGTGTGTTTTACAAGGCTAATGAGTATGCTGCTATGAACCCTAATTTCGTGGGATGTGTGGAGGGATCCTTGGGCATACGCGAATGGTTGGAATCTCAAGGGCATCAGTATATAGTCACTGATGATAAGGAAGGACTCAATTGTGGTAAGCATCTGACATAACATTCTACCTGATTCGCCTGTCTGTATTGCCTATTTTACAAAGGGATTAGGAATTCCAAGAACTTTAGGGGTCAGACAGAACTAATAACGCCTACTCGTAGGCTGAAATAAAATAAAACTTGCTTACCATAATTAATTAGCATAAATATTAAATTTTATCGGACTTTGTGTTTTAAATCTGTGTTCTAATTGAAGTTTGGTGGTTTTGTGCGTCCTTGTTTCAGAGCTTGAAAAGCACATTCCAGATCTCCACGTTCTCATAACAACTCCCTTCCATCCTGCCTACGTAACTGCTGAAAGGATCAAAAAAGCCAAAAACTTGGAGTTGCTTCTCACGGCTGGAATTGGGTCTGATCATGTTGACCTCAATGCAGCAGCTGCAGCTGGACTGACAGTTGCCGAGGTTACCGGAAGCAATGTGGTTTCAGTTGCAGAGGATGAGCTAATGAGAATTCTCATTCTCGTCAGGAATTTCCTACCAGGACACCACCAGGTTATTAAAGGTGAATGGAATGTTGCTGGGATAGCTCACAGAGCTTATGATCTTGAGGGGAAGACAATTGGGACCGTAGGTGCTGGACGAATTGGAAAACTTTTACTCCAAAGGCTGAAACCTTTCAACTGCAATCTCCTCTATCACGACCGACTGAAGATTGGCCCTGAACTTGAGAAGCAGATTGGAGCAAAGTTTGAGGAGGACATGGATGCAATGCTACCAAAATGCGATGTACTTGTCATCAACACTCCTCTAACTGACAAGACAAGGTATGTATTGTTTTTACTTTGAGAGGATGAACATTTAATAGTTTAGGTTGCAAGCTTTGACACGTCTAAACTCTACTCTGAAGGGGATTATTTAACAAAGAGAGAATTGCCAAATGCAAGAAAGGAGTACTAATTGTTAACAATGCTCGAGGAGCAATTATGGACACTGAAGCGGTCGTTGACGCTTGTAACAGTGGACACATTGGAGGTAATTACTGAATATAATACTATGGCAGCCCAATTCCATTTTGGCTAATACTTTCGTGAATATGCAGGATACAGTGGTGATGTGTGGAACCCGCAACCAGCTCCAAAAGACCATCCATGGCGTTACATGCCAAACCAAGCCATGACACCTCATATTTCTGGCACCACCATTGATGCACAGGTATAGTATATATTCAACTATTTTCTCTTCAATGACAAAATAGAGGCCTTTTTTATTAATGATACGATGCATGTGGGAAACAATGCTCAGTTGCGATACGCTGCGGGAGTGAAGGACATGCTTGATAGGTACTTCAAAGGACAGGACTTTCCTGCTCAAAACTACATCGTCAAGGAAGGACAACTTGCCCCTCAGTACCGCTAATTAGTTTGGTTCTATTCTCACTGTGTCCTCTGTAGAGGGCTTTGATTTCCTACAGCTCCCTTTTAGTGAACAATTAGTTCCCAGAATAAATTGGGTGTGTGGGAGCTAACTTGGGCCTTTTAAGTCGGTCAGTATCTTTGTGAGTCTTTTTGTGTAATGAGAATGAATGCATCTCATCATAATGTAATTCCATCTGGAATGGATATCTATGTATGAGGATGAATTGAATCATAGTTTTTCTTCTCTTTCTTCTCTTTCTTCTCCATCTGGTTCATCTGGAAATTGCCCCTCCCCCGCCATTGATCGAAAGCAAACGAAATTGACCAAATTAGAATAGTATCTACCAATCAAGATAATGTCCGCCAAGTCTTTCACAATACCTAAAATCAAGATAATGTCCCAAGATAGTGTCCCATAATTGATGGTGAATGTGAGCACATCTCGATGACACAACCTTGCTCTAAGACCAATTGTTGTTCTCTAATGTTACAACCAAAATGGTCTGATACTTCATTGTTGGGAGCCAGCGAAAAAAAACAGGGGAACCATTGATTCTGTGTCTTTGAATTCCTGTGATTGATTTTGTCGAATTGGATGGAAATTATGAAAGAAAAGGGTGAAAGTGGAGATGGGTATGTGAGGGCGGATCAGATAGATCTGAAGAGCTTAGACGAGCAGTTTCAGAGACATTTGAGCAAAGCATGGACCATGGAGAAGAACAAGAGGAAGGACGACGAGGAAGGCGGCGGCGGAAGAAGGCCGGGAATCACCAGGCAGGAGTGGGAGATTGACCCTTCTAAACTCATCATCAAAGCCGTCTTAGCTCGTGGCACTTTTGGAACTGTTCATCGTGGAATTTATGATGGCCAAGATGTTGCTGGTTCGATCTCTGTTTTCTGGGTTTTTGTTATTGCATTGATCATGGGGGTTTCTTGATTTTTTCGACACTTTAGAATTCTATTGACATGGCTTTGATACCATGTTAGAAATCATGGATCTCCACAATGGTACGATACTCTCCACTTTAAGCACAAACTCTCATGGCTTTCTAATCCGTTTTGCTTTTGATATTGTCTTTTTTGGCTTTCCTTCCCAGGTTTCTTCTCAAGATTCCCCTAAAGGCTTCACATTATAAAGGGTGTTTCGTTCTCTTGCCAACCAAGGTGAGATCCCAAGAAAGTCCTGTTGTATTACTTATGGTTTGCATTAACTTGTGTTGTTGGAGGTAGGTTGAAAGGATATATCACATATGTTTGAGTTATTCCTCACATACCCACCGAAGGATAGGAGTGGAGGGTCTAGAGTCCATTATTTACATTTATTTTTATATTTATTTTTATCGAGGTTGGGTGAAAAATTGGTTGGGATTGAATAACAACGTTGTGATATTTGAAGTGCACTATGTGTTTGGAAAAGTGTCATTGTCCGTGGCAGTTGGCAGCTTCTATCTATGCCCACTCCCCGCAGCATTCAAGGATACCAAAATCCCCCAAATTTCTTCTGTCACGGTAGTGGTAACTCATTTGTTATTCAATAGCCGTGTTTGGACCGCTTATGGCATCATAAGTATGATGTGTACATGCCGGTATCTATACTTGTCTCTACATAAATATTTCTAAATAAACAAATGAAAACCTAAGTTGAAAATAACCTATCATATTTCATTAAATTTGGTGTGGAGTAATTGCTCCAAAAATATATTGGTGTTGTATTTTTGATCCAACTATGACACTGTTCTTCAATTCAAACTTGTTATCTCTTGCTACTTCGCTGGATCGCTTTCTCCCGCCACACACCCACAGTAGGGCGCTCAAATTTGGGACGCTGTTTACCAGGTTTTTCCTCTTACCTCCATTATTTCCATCTCTCCCGCTTCCTTATACTAACCAATCCACGGCCGCCCTAAACTAAAATATTTAGGGTTTCAAAGGCTTGATTTTTAAATTCCTAATGAATTGTGATTTGTGTTGTTGTTGTTCTTCTTCTTTCGTTGGGCTTCTGGGTTTCAATTCATGGTTATAAGAAACTCGTTTTAAGCTTGCCGGAGAAACTCGTTTTATCCTGTCAAGTTTTTGTTTCTAAACAAATCCCCCATCATGATTGTGTGGCCACTTTTGGAGAAGAGGTAACTATGAAAGTCCCACTTCCAATAAATAGAATAATCATGGATTTATAATTCATGAATATTATCTCAAAATCATGACATTGATTATCTCAAAATCATGACCGTTTATGTTCAAAGTAACAATATCATATCTATAACGATCCAGATCCACCGCTAGCAGATATTGTCCTCTTTGGCCTTTTCCTTTCGGGATTTCCCTCAAGGCTTTAAAACGCGTCTGCTAGGGGAAGGTTTCCACACCCTTATGCATAACTCTTTTGTCTGTTTTGTGCCGTACGCATTCTAGCCCTTATTTTCTGGATAGCCTCATTAGTTGCTTGTACTAAATTGGGGCCCAACAACTTGCGTTCTCCCACTTCGTCCCAACACAATGGGGATTGACACTTCTTCCGTATAAGGCCTCAAAAGGTGCCATACCCAACGTTGCTTGATAACTGTTGTTATAAGCGAACTCTATGAGATGCAAGTGTGTCCCAGCTACCGGCAAAGTCCAACATACAGGCCCTCCAGAATCTGGTTTAAACGTTCAGTTTGCCCATCCGTCTGTGGGTGGAATGCTGTACTAAACTCTAGCCGTGTACCCAACGCTTTCTGAAGGCTTTTCCAAAACTTTGATGTGAAACGGGGATCCCTATCTGACACAATGGATACCGGTACCCCGTGCAATCTTGTTACCTCTTTCAAGTACAACTGAGCTCATTTATCCACGGAATAAGTGGACTTCCCTGGGAGGAAATGAGCTGACTTTGTGAGCCTATCAACCACAACCCAAATAACTGTGTATGAAGGCTTTTCCAAAACTTTGATGTGAAACGGGGATCCCTATCTGACACAATGGATACCGGTACCCCGTGCAATCTTGTTACCTCTTTCAAGTACAACTGAGCTCATTTATCCACGGAATAAGTGGACTTCCCTGGGAGGAAATGAGCTGACTTTGTGAGCCTATCAACCACAACCCAAATAACTGTGTAGCCTCTGGCTGTCCTCGGCAATCCCACGATAAAGTCCATGGCGATGTTCTCCCACTTCCATTCAGGTACACTAAGTGGTTGTAATAGCCCCGCCGGCTTCTGCCTTGGGGCTTTGACTTGTTGACAAACCAGACACTTGCTCACGAACTCGGCCACATCACGTTTCATATTCCGCCACCAATAATGTCGTTTCAAATCCTGATACATCTTGGTACTGCCAGGATGCAGAGCGAATGGCGAGTGGTGAGCCTTGGCTAGGATTTCTACCTTTAGTTCTTCTTCATTTGGCACACACAACCGCCCATGGTACAAGAGCCCCCCCATCTATTGTCAATAAAAACTCCTCTGTCTAATTGCCATCTATCAAACGTCTTTTTCCAACCAAATCTGGATCACCATGCGTTTTATCAATAAGACACTGCCTCAAGGTCGGTTATATCGTTAACTGGGCCAATTGAGCGGCGACCTCCCCCATGGCCACCGCTACCCCGGCGCGTTCCAGATCCTGCTGGATCGCTTTTTGTGTAGTGATTAGTGCAGACGTGTGTGCTGATTTTCGGCTCAACGCATCAGCTACCACATTCGCCTTTCCCGGGTGATAGGGTATCTCCACGTCATAGTCTTTAACCAACTCCAACCACCTACGTTGTCTCATGTTCAACTCCTTCTGCCTAAAGAAGTATTTAAGGCTCATGTGGTCAATGAAAATTTGGGTCCTTTCTCCATAAAGGTAGTGTCTCCAAATCTTCGATACAAATACCACTGCTGCGAGTTCTAGGTCGTGGGTGAGATAGTTTCGCTCGTTTTCTTTTAGTTGACGTGAAGCATAGGCAATAACCTTCCCACGTTGCATGAGGACACATCCTAACCCCCTTTTTGAAGCATCGCTGCACACTACAAAGCCTCCTTCTCCTGACGGTACAGTGAGTATCGGGGCAGATACTAACCTCTGTTTGAGTTCTTTGAAACTAACCTCACACTGATCATTCCAGGTGAACGACTTTCCTTTCTTGGTCAACTCAAGGGGGGGGGGGGGGGGCNCCGATAATACCCTGCTAGTCCAAGGCAACTTCGTACTTCCGTCACTGTGGTCGGGCGAGGCCAATTCGTCACCGCTTTAATCTTTGTTGGGTCTACTGTGATTCCCATGCTTGAAACTACATGCCCAAGAAATCCCACATGTTCTGCCCAGAATTCACACTTGGAGAACTTTGCAAACAACTTGTTCGTTTTCAGAGTGGTCAGCACTTTCCGGAGATGTTCCTCGTGTTGTTCCCTAGTCTTGGAGTACACCAGGATATCATCGATGAAGACGATCACGAAGTTGTCTAAAAACTCTCTGAACACTTTGTTCATCAACCCCATAAATGCTGCTGGAGCGTTGGTCAAGCCAAACGACATTACCCTAAACTCTTAATGTCCATACCTTGTGCGAAAGGTTGTCTTTGAGATATCACTCTCCTTAATCCTTAACTGATGGTAGTCTGACCGTAAATCTATCTTTGAGAACACAACTGCTCCTTGCAACTGGTCGAATAGGATGTCGACTCGGGGCAAGGAGATACACTTGGTCGTATAAAGTCTTTGCTTAGTAGCTCTTGAAATTGCAACTTTTGTTCTTTAAGTTCAGCAGGAGCCATTCTGTACAGGGCTCTTGATATAGAGGTTGTTCCTGGCTCAAGTACAATTTTGAATTCCATCTCACGCTCTGGGGGTAGGCCCGGGAGATCTTCTGGGAACACGTCTACGAATTCTCTCACTACTGCACTGAGTTAATGCTCGTCTCAGTTCGCCCTAATTCCACCACATGAGCTAATATCCCCCAAGCACCCTGAGATAACATCTTCCTTGCCTTTAATGCCGAGACTATCCTCGAGACCATTCCCTCCCTGGTCCCCTTGAATTTGAAGCTTGGTTGACCAGGAGGTCTGAACACCACCTCCTTGTTGAAGGAATCGATGGATGCATGGTTTTTAGCTAACCATTCCATTCCTAAGATGACGTCAAAATTGACCATATCTAGGACTATTAGCGTCAAATGCTAACCATTCCATCTCTAAGATGACGTCAAAATTGACAATATCTAGGACTATTAGCGTCACATCTATCGTGTGGTTTGACACCCACAACTGACAGTCTAGTTTTTTTTTTTTTTTTAAAACCTGTATTCTACCCTACTTTAAAAAAATTAGGGGTGTATATTTGACAACTCAGACCAACTCAACCCGAACTGAATCGGTTCGGTTTTGAGTTCATAAGCAAAATCTTTAGGTTAACCCGAACCAAATAAAAAAAAATATAAAATATATTAGAACTCCTTCCATAAGTAATGGGTATGCAAGAGTGGTATTGAGTTGGTTCAGGATACTGTCTATTATTAGGCAAATACATTTTCCTTTTTATTATTCTGTTTATATTATTTTATTATTTTTAATTTGTTTGATTTGTTATTTTATTATTTTATTATTTTTAATTTGTTTGTTTTTGTTTATTTCGTTATACATTTTCTTTTTTATTATTATGTTTATATTATTTTGTTATTTTATTATTTTAAATTTATTTGTTTTGTTTAGGTTATTTTGTTATACATTTTCTTTTTTATTATTGGGTTTATATTATTTTATTATTCTTAATTTATTTGTTTTGTTTATATTATTTTTAATTTATTTGTTTGGTTTATTTTTCTTTTGTTATACATGTTCTTTTTTATTATTCTTATTATTCTGTTTATATTACTTCATTATTTTTAATTTGTTTGTTTGGTTTAATTTATTTTACTGTACATTATTTTATTCTGTTTATATTATTTTATTATTCTTAATTCTTAATTCTTTTTGTTTTGTTTATTTTATTTTCTTATACATTTTCTTTTTTATTTTGTTATACATTTTCTATTTTCTATTTTATTATTCTATTTATATTATTTTATTATTGTTTATATTATTTTATTATTCTTAATTTGTTTGTTTTATATTATTTTGTTATTTTATTATTTTTAATTTATTTGTTTGGTTTATTTTCTTTTGTTATACATGTTTTTTTTATTATTCTGTTTATATTATTTTATTATTTTTTATTTATATTATTTTGTTATTTTATTATTTTTAATTTCTTTATTTAGTTTATTTTATTTTGTTATTTTATTATTTTTATTTTTTTTTGTTTGGTTTATATTATTTTGTTATTTTTAATTTGCAATTTACAGTATTAATACATTTTGTTAATAAATTATATATACATATAAGGTTGTGTTAGGATTGAAAAAAATTACGGGTTGGGTTGGGTTACCAATCCAACTAACCCGAACTTTTGAATTGGGTAAAAAAAAAAAATCCTCCAACCCAATCCAACTCCAACTATTCACCTCTAACGAAAACTCATAATTTGGTGGAATTTGTACAAAAGTGGTGAGGAAAATGTTGCAGAATTATACAATTCATGACAAGAAATCTAATAATGGAGAGAGAAAGAACAAAACAAATTTGGGTGAATTTGCTAAACCTAGAGAAGAAGTGGACTGGTCGTGCATTTATGTTGGGCCTTGGGCTGGTGTATCTAAATCTTCTTATAACCTTGGGCTCATTGGCATCTTTTGTCTTTCTTGGGCGCCTTTGTCTTGGACTCTTCAACCCTTCCAGCTGAGCTGAGTTGGAAAATACGAGAGAGAGATGACATCTCCCCTCTCTCGAATTACCAACTTTCAACTGCTTATCATGGCTCGAATGTGACTACGATAGCAATCTTGAAATAACTAACGTACAACACTGTTAATTAGTTATCATAACTAGAAAGTGACTATGATCGTAATAATGAAATAACCGTGAGCGGTGAGAGAACCGCGATTCTTTCTACAATTTTGGTCAATTTGCTAATCTAAATTAAATTTTGTTTTAATTTTAAAATTTTGGTTTATGATAGGTTATTATACCTACGTTTAGGTTATTTTGAGACAAAAACCGATTATATATATTTGAGTAATTTTAAAATATATTTTTTTCATTTTACAAATTCTTAAATGAATTTTTTTCATTTTAAAATATATTTTTTTCAATTTAAAAATATGGTTTATGATAGGTTATTCAAAATATATATTTTTTTTTTCATTATAATCAATCTAAAAAAATATTGATATTTAATTGCCTTAATTTGTATTTGTTTGTAAACTTTTAATATCTTCATCTAAGATAGATAAAGAAAACTTTTAATTTTGTTTTAAAGTTAACCAACTTAACCCAAAAACAGACGGTTGGATTATGAAAATTTTCAGGTTGTGTTACCAATCCAATTAATCCCCGAACTTTTGATTTAGGTTTAAGAAAATCCCTAACCCAACCCAATCCAAATCGTCTACGCCCTTATCTTTAATCACTTAAAACTAGTAAAATATACTGTTAACTTTCCTTTCTTTTCTCTGGAAGATTAAGATTTTTTATATTACTTGTAATTTATTAATTATATCTTGTGTTACAAAAACAAAACAAAACAAAAAAAAAAAAAAAAAAATCTTAACTTGGCATATTTTATATTATTTGTTAATAAAATAATTATATCCCATTTTGTGCTCAAGTATTAACTGTTTTATTTATGAACAAGTGTTGCATTTCTAGGATTTGCTCAGCTTTTCTACATTATTACATGTCTTCAAATTTTTTTATTTTATTTTTTAATTATTTAAATAAATTATATTTATTTCTTATAATAATTTCTCAAATTCTTTAGTTTTATCTTTCTAATTATTTAAATAAATTATATTTAGTTCCTACAATAATTTCTTAAAACTCTTAATTTTGTATTTAATTATGAGATCCATCCGTTTGGTTTGGGAAGAGAACAAAATGCTCTTTATAAATGTGGACACTCTTAAAAATTTTGAGGGTAAGTCGAATAGTGAAAATCCAAAGAGAACAATATCGACTAACTGTAGACCTAGGCGTGATTGAACCGTTACAAATGGTATCAGAGCCAAACACTAGGCGATATGCGAGTGAGGAGACTGTTCTTGAAAGAGGATAGGCATGAGACAGTATGTGAGCCAGAACGTTGGACTTTAAAGGAAGTAGATTTGGTAGGGTCCCACATCGATTGGAGAAAGAAACAAGTAAGATGGACCCGAAGCTCGTGGATCTTGAAATTTCACAAGTTGGGGGGAGAGATAAACCCTTTACAAGGGTTTATGAGGGTTTGGAAACTACAATGGAAATGGTTTAAGCTGTCAATTTTAATGTCAACAATAATTGAAATGACATAACCCTTTTTCTTCCCTGCTTCCATGTAGTTAGCTGTCACCCACGCTTCTTCTTCCCCTTGCTCTTTGTTCTTCAATTTCTTGTCCACAACACAAATGGTTGCTCATAATATAGTTGCCATACTCGGCAATCTCATCTCCTTCACCCTCTCCTTCTCTCCACTGTAAGCTCTTTCTCCCTCTTATGGAAACTGCGCAACTCTTTTCCCTTCATTGACGACCTTAAGAACTATTACCAAATTTCAAAGGAAGATATGCTAAACAAGTATGGAAAATTCTTACACTAGGAGAGATGCAACAAGCCAACAAGCAATTATACAAAGAAACAAACTATAAAAAGAGAATAAGTGTCACTAACATAGATTGTTAAATTTTAATGTTCTTATTATAGGCCAACACAACATCTAATATTCTAAATAAAGCACATCAAATTTGACTCCAAGGAATTGGAGGCAAAATATCAAAAGTAGAGAAATGTTAAAAACTTATAGGCCATATATTTATTATCTGAGTCCAAAAGATGTTTAAACAAGAAATGACTTGAGTTCTCAATCTCCTCTTGCAAAGGTTTTTCCACATTTTCTACAAGTAAATGGCTTGATTCCATGCTATACTTTGTTTTGTAATGTGTTTGAAGAGTTCCAAAGTCTTAAGTGACTTTGACCTTGGATGGTCTATTTTGAAGGGTTCTAAATAATCATAAAATAACCATATAACTAGTAAAGCCTTTAAAAAGTCTGAAAATTTGTTTCACCTAGTCACTACAAATTAACAACCGGTCACTATAAATTAGCAAACAAAAGCCAACGGCGGAAATCAATCTAAGTGTTCTTCTAATTAGGAAGAACAACAGGGAACAACTTCTTCTAAGATCTGAGTTGAACAAATTCTCAAAATCAGTTCATCAATACACAAATATATTTCTTCCTACTTGGTACTTTTAGAATGTGCAACCTATCAACAACATCAACATCATTCATGCCGGTAGAATGGGCTTGAAATAACCTACAAATTAACAAATTCCTCTACCCTTAATTCCTTTGTACTATTGGCCTTCTTTTCTTCTTTGTAATTTTCACGTGGTTCTTCAATTTGGGCATGTATTGATTGAACAAACGCGGTAAATAAACATAGTTTCTTGTATTAAGTTTTTGTTCCGTCAATCTATCTCACAAAACTACATTCAACCTTTTAACACAAAACAACTATCACATCTATCCCACAGAACTCACCAAACTACATTAAAAGAAAACATTCTACAGGTCGGAAAATACACACTTATTTAAGTATGAACCAAAATGAGAAAATGAAAGAAAACAACTCTATGTCACATGTCTTCTTCCAATTCCAATGTCACTATCTTCAATTGATGCAAATCAAACAGCCTTGAGGGGAAAATTTTGAAGCCCAAAAGAAAGAAGGATAGATGGTCGCAGAGAAAAAGTGATTAGAAAGAGCGATGGGCGATGGATCGACTTCTTTGCAAGAGAGCCAGATGGGTGCGGTGCAGAGGGGAAAAAGGAAAGAAGAAAGAAAGGAAAGGTTTTTATCCATAATTTAGGTTTGAGGGATAACCATTTAAAAAAAATTTAAGTAAAAAAAAAAAAAAAAAAAAAAAAAAAAAAAAAAAA